TAACACATAAAGCGAGATAAATGTAGTGAGGTATTGCTAGCTCCATTATTATTATTATTATTATTATTATTTATTAAATCTAATTTACTATTTTTTTATTTTAAAGTATTTGTTTATACATTGGCAAGGAAAATTACAATTTACTAAATTGTATTTATCAAAAATTCGCTCAAGAGCTTGAAAAATTAAAAAATACCAGATTCATTGATAATTTTGTAAATATATGGCCTGTAGAATTTTTTTTTTCGGGAGATTGGAAATTTCTAGCACTTGTATTAGGGCTTAATGCAGCCAACTCAAATTATTTTTGTTTGTTTTGTGATTGTTATGAAAGTGAACGTGCTAATATAGAATTAAATTGGAATAATAGTTCAAATACTCGTGGTAAACTTTTGTTTAATTTTACTATATTGTATTAAATTTATTTAAATTATATAATTACAATTATTATTAATTAATAGGGCTTAAGCATTCAATGCTTTTTAATATTGTTAATCAAGGCAATTGGATCCCTGATGAATTACATACTATGTTACGTATATTAGACATTTTATTACAATATGCTTTTTATGAACTTTCAGCAAATCGAAAAAATTTTGCAAAAACAATAAGCAAATTAATAATTGCTGAAATGAGTCAAATTGGTGTACATTTTGAATTTTTTCTCCTATAACTAATTCAAGCTCATGGACATGGACTTCTCTAATAGACCCTGACAAACTTAAAATACTACAAAATTTTCAAATATCCAAATTTTTTAATTTGAATAGAGGAAAAGAAATAGAACGTCTTTGGCGTGAATTTTACAGACTTTATAATATAATATGTCAACAAAATTTAACTGATATAGAAATTGATAAATTCGGAAATGATGCAAAACAATGGATCAAAGATTTTAGCCGTCCTACAATTGGAAAATTTAATTCACCAAATCAGCAACAAGGAATGTATTCAAAAAAAAATGTAATACCATATATGCATATGTTAGCTCAACATATGCCTAAGTTTATGCGCAATTTGAAAAACAAAGGATTGTTATTACGTTTATTTTCAACTTCAAGTCTCAAAAAAAAAAAAATCATGAACATGTAAAAAAATTTTATTTTATTTAAAATACTTTCTATATATAATTTATTTACATATTTACTAATATTTTATTCTATCTAGATACGACTTTTTTTTTCTGGAACAACGATGGATGGTGGTAAAATTCATAAACCTGTAGTATATGATATTATGAAATATGAAAATCGACAAATTTATTATCGAATTTATAATGTTCCTACAACCTATCCACGTAAAGTTATTCATATTAAAAATTAAATAAATGATTATAAAATACAATATATTCAATAAAAGTTTATTACCTTATTCAGAAACAAAATCTTGAATGTCAATTTGAAATGAACACATCATTAAGCCACATAATAAAGGATAATGGTGTTTTTTATATACATGTTCTTTCCAAGTAAAATTCATTTGATATGTTCCGGTTTTATTCTCCATCAAGACATAAGCAATAGTTCCTGATCCATCTTCTTTATATCCCCATTTATCATCATTTAATAAATTTCCCAACTCCTTATAACCAGCACTTCCATTAAAACTAACAATATATTTTTTTTGTGATGTAGCAAAGTAAAAAGTAGAAATGTGTCGAAATAAAATAATGAATAATCCTTCAGAAAAAGGTTCAAATCGAATTGTTTTGTTTTTGACTTTACTTCGACCAAACTGAAGAATTTTTCACTTGAATAATAAATGCATTTCGAAACGGTTCAATATCATAGCTTGAGGGCGCAATTATAGTGTGTAAATGTAGAATAATTTTATTGTTTTGATGTTTAGTTTTTTCGTGTTTAACAAGGGAACTTTGAGATCGATATAAATACCGTAAATTGGGTGAACAAAGATAGCAAAGATATGTTGAAACTATTTGTCACAATGTATATACAAAAAATGATTTGTTTATCTGCTGTATTATCGGTCACCGAATATGTTCCATGATCTGCGATGTCATATGATTTAAAAAATAAAAAATCTACCCCTCTAAATTTAGCATTATTGCTATAGCATTTATTTTTTTATTTAACTATGCTTTAACTGTTAGTAAATTAATTGTTTGGATATTTATTTGATATATGAAATTTTACATTATATAAAGGTTATTTAATATGTCTTTAAAACAATCTTTTTTATATGACAATTTTATGATGTAGTTTTCTGAAGATTTTTTTTCTAAATCAATAAATTCTTATGAAACAGTTTATTTTAGAATATTATAATAAGCATTAACAAATTTTGTAAAAAGATATAATAGATATAATAATAAAAAATAAGGTTTACAAGTAATTAGAAATATTAACGGTTCATTATCGGTTATAACCAGCCATTATAACTTGTTATATAATTAATCGGTTCAAGTTCAATTAAGAAAATTTGATTAAACATAAAATACGATCATATTACTCAAACTCGATGCTTGTAATCTAGCCTAACCCTGGCAACACGAATTCAATCTATACACTTCTATATTTGTAATTCTTGACCAATTACTATCGTGAGATTTTTTAGGCAGCATACTGCTGCGGTTATTGGAAATTATTTAAACAATGCGCGACTATTGTAGGTTCAAAAACTCCATTCGGGTTTATTATAATTAAGTGCAGCATTGAATTTAAAAACTGCTCTTAAGATAGATTCAATGACATACATTGCAGTTATTAGAAGGGGTAATGAAAGCCAAAGCTATCAAATTATATACATAAATTCTCAAAATAATCCGTTATTTTGAATTATTTCAAGCATGCTCATGGGTGTTATTTGGATATCAGATCGATGTTTCTAATCGTAAAAGATCTTCACGTTCTGTAGCGATAATAATATACAAGTGCCTTTTATTGTATTAGTTCAATCTTCACGATTGACTGAAACTTGTTTGCATGTAATAACGATAACTGAAGATTTTTTATGGTTACCTGTTGAAAAGTAAGGTGTTAATTTATTTTTATTTAAACAATAATGATAGCGATAACATTAAATTGTGATCAATATAAATATCTATTTCGCAAAGTTTTTGCTCAAATCAAAACCCAAAATTTGAACAAATACGACCCTTAAACAATAATCTAACTAAACATAAATGATTCAATTCTTGGAAGAGCCGAGATACTAAATTGAATCGCATAAAGATGGCATCAAAAAGTTTAATAAATCTTGATGTTATACCATTATTGCACCTGTTTATTTAAATTGAAGCTATATACAAATTCAAATATCACAAAAATAAATGATTCTGATAACAGATCTTATTAATGGTATCGATATCATTATAGCAAAATGGATCATTGCTAACTTTTCTTTAGGACAAATCTTTATATCACCACCAAAAATAACCAACAAATTCTTATTGTTATGAATTGATTTTTTTTTGATTTTTTTTTTTTTTTTTTTTTTTCTTTTTCTGTTTTTTCTTTTTTTTTTCTTTTTTCTTTTCTTTTTTTTTTTTTTTCTTAAAAAAAAAAACTTTGGTGTGGGACGCCGTCAGCATACAATATTCACCTATTGACGATTCACCATGATAGTGGGATCCTGTTTTAAAATAATATTAATATGTGAATCTTTTAGAATGAAACAATTTAAAATATTATTTTAAATAGTACAAGCCTATACTGTTGTTATAGTTTACATATCGGGATAAACTTTTTTTTTGTTGTAGCGATTATTATCCCAGTATGCCCGAACATGTTGCATATTCCAATAATTACTTTGTTCTTGAAGTTGTCTTGAAATTTCAATAACCTCATCTTCAGGGAAGGTATCATATTTAAATATACTTTCAAGAAGTTTTTTTTCATTATCATTTATAATCCTACATTGACGCTTGGCACCTGTTTGTTCATCCAATTGACCGGTGCTTACATTATTGCTTTCGATCTGACTTTCTTGCAGGCTGTTATTTTTTGTTAGCCCTTCTTTTTGTGTTAATGAATTAAGTTCATATACTACATTGTGTCTTTTGTGACTTTCTGGATTCCTTCATTCAGTCTTGTACACATCTTGCCGTAGAATTTCCTGAAGGCGAAATATCCCAAGATTGTAACATGAAAATATAATAGAAAATCCCATCGGTGTCATTTCTGGTGTATACATGAAAATTTCATGCATTATTAGATTCGGAAGAGAGTGGGTGGTATTTGCTAACTTCTATACTTTAATAGTAACCATATCACCCATATATTCAGAAATCAACGGCTCTAATCGTTCTTTTTCTGCTTGTGCAAAACTGATTTGTAGCTTCAATTCCTTTGTATCTACCATCTTGTTACCGATATTTTGTTTTACAAACAGGACCCCAAAATGTTCTAACGCTTCATCAAAACCGAAAAAGTATTCAGGTTGGATTGAATTAGCAGAACAAACATTTCGAAGTAATTCTTGGAGATGCGGTTCCTCATAAATATAAGATAAAAAACGGGTTACTGAATTAGAATAATTGATTTTGCTAACAACCGGAAAGAGGGATGCAAATGCAGCAAGATTCTTTATTTGCATTGCATATCATAGTTTTCCCAATAACTAATGATTTTATGCCCAATCCAGAAAAAGTAACAGTAACAAACTCTGAGTGCATCATTCTTATTACTTTTAATATCACTTATTTTTTGATTTTTTATTTTTAACGTTAAGTACTTAAAGATCGCAATGCCAACGGCAACCCAAATCAACTCCAAGACTCGAGTGGCAGCCTGGTAACCCACAACGCTTTCGAGTATATCTGAAAACCGAACTCCAAGCCTTACAGCTATATTGGTAGCTTTTTTTTTACCCTTATCAGCAGTCTCAGCTATAGCATTTTCCGATTTGACAACCAAGCTAGTATCTTTTTCATATTCTTCTGGCACATAATCGAAACTATTAAGGACCGATGTATCGGTATTATGGCATTTTGTAATCGTTGCCATTTAAAAAAAAAGATTCGATAAAAAAAAAAATCGACAAAAAAGATTGACAAAAAAAAAAAAAACTGAAAAATAAAAAGCCAATGGTCTAAAGCAGTGGCTTAACGTTAAATGAACTTTGTTAAAAAAAAAAGGAAAGAAAAAAACAATTCAAATAAAAAAGTTTCCCACGTTATCGTTATCGTTATCGTTATTGTACTCTCAACAAAAATTAGGCAACTTTGACCTAAAATTCTTTTAAAATTAGAGGCGCCACAGCACGTTAAACAGGATGGTTCGCAAGAAAAAACGTAGAGCTTGCAAGGTTATGTATCATAAGGATATCGCCATAGAAGTGAAGTTCGCTTTTACAATGATTTTCTATATAAAAAATGGGTGCAGATCCTTTGTTATCGCTATTTATTTATCGTTATTTTCAGGGGTTTAATTCAAAATTGAGGTTTAAACCGATAAACTTAAACTTACCCCTGAAATACAAAATCGGTTCAAAAATTTACAAAACAATCTACAAGAAAATATAGAAATTTAATTGATTTAAATAATATAGCAGAATATTTTATATGATAAAAGTGCTAACAATAAGAACAAATTTTCGCTTTGATATCAACTATAATGATAAGAGATGCATGAACCGGATGCCGATTTCTTAATTGAAACATTTGCAAAAACTTTTTTACTGTTACCTAAAGCAACTCTTGTGTAATGATATCTGGACATCCTTAGGATAATAGCTTAAAGACTGGGAGGTTTGCTATTTACCATAAATTAAGAATGTATTTGCAGATCGAAAAGGTTTGGTTTGCAAAATAAACTCTTGCATGTTTTGTAAATACACAAAGACATTATAATATTTTTATTTTTCAAATAAAACCACAAGTATTATATCCAATACTGCAGTTATGCAGCCAAACCAACCATCATTATGATAAATTTTCGAAAAATAAAATCAACTTGATGCACACATCAATTCGTAACAAGAAAAATAAGAATACCGATACTACATGTAATTACATAAACTACATGTATTGTTGATGTTCACGTCGAGTTCATTAAAACTTCTTTAATTGAGCCAAAAAAACCACCCAACATGTGATCACTATCTGAATCCAAAACTTCATACTACCATTTGCATTCTTAATTCAAAGATGATCATAATGCTTTTATTTCAAGTGTGGATCGAATTTAAAAGTTGTCTTTGAGACAGATTAAATAATATTTATTAAAAATACTAAAAGATAATACGCAAAGTTATTACCATTGACCACTGCTTACAGTATTCTCTAAAAATAATACCACCATGATTAAGACACGGGTATTACTGTCCTTACTAGCCTGTTTTTTTTGAATAAGACTTAGAGGCATGACTCTATTAATTTATTACTTTTAATATAATTTATCGCATTAATCAGAATTAACAATAACAAAATATCAAGTATTCAAAGATCGAATGAAATACTCACTCATGCTTACGTTAATCCATTCATATTTCAAAATTTTGTAGTAAAATAACAGACGTCTCATAACACGATATAGTACCCAGTTCAAGGTACTGTAAGCAATGGCCAACGGCAAATATATTAAAATTACCTTTATCGTTATATTGTTCAAATAATACTGATACGTACAACTAAAAATTCCATTTTAAATTTCATTGAATATATTAAAAAAGGTTAATTGAAGTATGATAATAATAACAAAACAATAACACTAAATTTAATACCTACAATCGCTATAAAATAACTATCCTTTAAGTTTAAATCCAAAGGCCTGAACAAGTTCAACCCTTGAACAGTAATCTAATCAAACAAGGAAAATTTATTTTGCTTCTTAATAAAGCGAAAACACAATCGGATTACCTTGAAGTTTTTTCCTTATTACCCAAAATCGGCATTACCACATTTGATCGTTCATTTCAATCGAAATTATTATAATTTCGTGACCAAATAGAATTATAAGTTTTTGAAAGTCAAATCAATCTTACATACTATAAATTCACCATAGAAAGATATAGTCTGTTTTAAAATTCATAAAATCTATACCGTTGGTTTACACATTAGAAGAAACCTTTTTTCTCTTGTTGTGGCGATTGTTATTCCAGTAAATTCGAACATGTTGTATGTCCCAGTCATTACTTTGTTCCTGAAGTTGTCTTAAGATTTCGGTGGCTTTATCTTCAGGGAAGGTATCATATTTAAGTAAATCCTCAAGAATTTTTTTTTAATTATCATTCGTAACTCTACGTTGACGCTTTGGACCTGTTTGTTTATCCAATTGCCTGGCACTTACATTGTTATTTGAATTGCTATTTCTTGTTAGTTCATTTATTTGCATTCTTTTTTTTTGGTGTTCTGATAGCACGTATGGATTCTGTGTCAGGTTATGTCGATCATTGCCGATCGTTTATCACATGATGATGTTCGGGTAACAAAACGTGCATAATTCGGTTAGAACTTATTCTAACATATACTATATATATCGAAATATTTTTTTTTTTAAATACTAATATTATGATCGGTAAAGACTCAATACGTACGTAATTTATAATCAGACATTTCAATACTAATATTCTTCAAGATTCAAATATCGG